CAAAAAGGGACAAAACCAAAACAGATATGCACAATCAAAAACTCAGGAACTAGCAAAATAAAGAACTAGCAAAATGAAATCTCAACACTTCCCTTAGAAAACAGAATCACGCCACACCACCAGACCAATTCCTGGATCAGAAAGAGAAACAACAGGTCTGAACTAGGCCTCACTCCCACACGAGCAGAGCTGGTCACAGGGAACCTGTGGCCTCTAGATCTCCCCGGAAGAGAAGAGAGCGTCAGTCCCTCCTCCCCTCATATATTTACACCTCTGTTTACGTAAAGGAATAGCATGGAATACCGGGAACATAGGGTACTTCCCTAGTTACAAGCTGGTCTCCAGGAAGGCCTAGACTGAAACTATCACAAAGGACCAGAGCAGATAAAACCAAAGGCATGTGTTTGCATCATGTCACGACCCTGCCATTGGACTTATGAGAGCCGGTCTTCTACAAGTCTTTGGTTGTAGCTCTCTCTTCCTTTTCTTGTCTCCTTTTGCTCCCTCTGCTTCTCTTTCCTTGCTCCTTTCTTGATGCTTAGGGTGGTTTGGAGCTGGAGGGACTGGATATTGATTTAAGTGTGGTGGAATTGGTTGGATTTTTCTTAAGCGTTGTGGATTTGTGGATTTATTGGAAAGGTTGTGGATTTATTGAACCTTGCCTTAAGTATTGTTGGTTTATTGGATCTTGATTTAAGTGTTGTGGATTGGCTGGATTTTGACTTAAGGGTTGTGGATTAGTACGATATGCTGGGTCAGTACTGTGGTGGAACATTTTGTCTACCTTGTATGGTGTCCTTTTGATCTTTGGCCAAGTTTCTTTATTTGCTCCCCTAAATTATTAAAGAAATTTCTTGGGAACAAGTCCCTGGCTGTGTGAACAAGCTGAGTCAGATGCACCTGCATTCAGTTAATTAGAATCAAAAAGGAGTATTTCGGCCTTAACTGTGTTTTGGTAAAGAGAGTGCTGTGTTCCCAAAGCGGAAAACGGCTCAAGAGTCTGCATGAGAGCATGCATGGTTTATGCCGTGATTGAAAACAGTCATAGAATGATAGCATATGAAATCAAGACATCAGATCACCAAAGTTTTGGGAATTCTAGTTATAATGGCAACAGTTGAATGGCAACACCAAGTGCTGTTTACCTGAAGAGATTAATAAAAAAGGAATGCAGAGAGAGCTCTGCAGAGAATCCTGAAAACTGAATTATGGTGTGTGCAGCCTCATTTCTTTATTTCCCATACGTGGCTTATTCTCTTGACGCTGTCTCCAGGTATTAAAGAACCATAGCCAAACCAGGGAGTTGGCAGCTCCCGGGGCTTGGAGTCTTACAATACCCTAATCATTTCTCCTTTTTCCTGCTTCTCCTTCCCCTTTTGCTTTGAGAGTCCTCCATCTGGGTCTCACCTGAAGTCCCCACAGGGCACAACAACAAGCCGAGGGCTGCTGAAATCAGCAGGGTACACCTTCCCGTGCTCCCATTGTCCCGCTCTGCAGGGTCAGAGGTCAAGCATTTTGGACGAGCCTCCAGATGTGAGAAACACTCACTTATTGATGAAATTGAGAGACGACATTGAAGCAAAACTATTTATTGATAAGAACAAGTCAGCTGAGTCAGGTGCATGTCTAGGGAAGCACACCTCTCCTCAGAATGGACTACCTTTTATACCCTTCCCCAGGTGGTGAGATCCCTGTCACTTTTCCCATTGCCTGTCTATTCAGGAACTTATATCCCTTCCCAGCTGCGTACCTGACTTGAACTGTCCCTTAACTTCCCCCCTTTTGTCTTTGCTTCCTTTTTTTGGGCAGGTTTTCAGTATCACCTTTCCTATTGGCCCTGGCAACTCTTTGCACTCAAGCTATAAACAGGAGCTAACTTCCCTCCCATTCTCTCTCATGTCCATGAGGTTTCATGGCTGAACCAAAACCTTATTTCATTTCTCACAGAACCTTCCACTAAAGGTTATTTCTTTTCAAATAACTTAACTACATACGGGCTCTCTTTGAGTCCTGAAGAAACACTGAAGAGTGCAAACATTGCAAGGTGAGCAGTAACTGAGGGACTCCAGAGAGCAAAAGGACAGTTTTCACAATCCCTTTAAAAGTCTCTTATATGACTTTTCCCATCTTTTCTTCTTTTCCAATGCGCAAGAACAAAGCATCCTTACCTCTTGTCTAAGAAACATTTCCTTTTACAGTGATATAAAGATAGAAAGCCCAAGGACACAGGAGAATTTTTTTCCTCCCCCAGTCATTAAAGTCTATCAAAAGCCAGAACAGTCAGTGAACAAGCACCTACTGAGAACTGTGGCTAACTTGAAAGCCCAGGACAGAAAAAAAGAGAGTTTTGAGACTTTTTTTCTAACTTTTTTACAATCAATTTAATGCCTCTGTACAGAAGTGTGTAAGTTTGACACCTCTTTCACCAAAGACTGGCCACATTTTAAACTACACTAAATGCTGCCATCTAATGGTACCTGATCACTGAACAAAAGCTGTCGGCTCAGTCCAGCTCTCAAAGATCAAAATAAAGAGTTTCACCTCACAAGCATCACTCTGCATGAAACAACACAAGCCAGAAAGCAGCAGGTCTCAAGCAGAGCCGCCAAATATCTCTGCATCCCTCTGCCCAGTGTGGCAGCTCCTGAGTGCAAATTCCTGAATTATCCAAAGAGGTCTGCAAACCTTCTTCATCAACCTTTTTTTTCTGGACTGCAGTTGGTTCTGGAAGTAATCACAGAATCATTAAGGTTGAAAAAGATGTAAGGGGGTACTTTTGAATTAGATGATCTATGGAGCATAGAGGTGTGAGAAAGAAATCATATTAGGATGTGAAACCAGCTAGAATATTGTACCATGTAACTTTATGGCACAAGTTAACTGTAAGGTCCGTTGTGCTTTTTAGCAAGTCAACTTGATATCCCCTATTATCAGAGCTGAGTTCCTCCTTGGCTTTGCTACATACTGCAAGATGGATACAAATACCCTTGAAACACAATGGTAGAGGTCATACAAAGCGGTGAGAAAGATAATGGTGAGAGGAAGATTATGTGGGCAGGGGTCATTCGCCCCTTACCCTACAGCAGGGCATGGGCAGACTGTTGCCATTAGGTAACGAATAGGCGGTGTTTGGCTGCCACTCAGGCATCACCTTATGCTGAGTACTGGCCCTACGTGGTGTAATGTAGAGCTGATAAAAATGGTGTGTCAGGACTGCTGGGGTGAGCGATACTCATCCTTCCATGGAGACAGTGTTGCTCTGCGGGGACGCTCTCTGAGCATGGGCACCGACCAGCTGCTGCAGATCCTGGTAGCCCTGGCCTGTCTGTGTAGGTAAGAACGGTTTATTGATAGGAAGCAACTAGGAAAGCAAATGTTTTAATATCCCTTTTATGTTCCTTTTAATTCCCCTCTGTTTAGTTAATATTGTAATAAAAGATGTTCATAATGTTTTCCCTTTAATACCCCTTTTTTTACTAATTAATATTGTATTAAAAGTTGTCAGTAGTGTTGTTTTAATATCCTTTTTTGGTATTCCTTTAGTTCCCTTTTTACTAGTTACTACTGTATTAAAAGCTATTCATAGTATTGTTTTAATACCAACCGATAAAATAGTTATTTTGTATTCTTTTTTAGCTTTTGATTCTCTTTGCTAGTTTTTTTTTTTTTTGTTATTATTCTCACTGCAATAAAAGATATTTTGCAGTGTTTGAATGTCTGTAGTACTTGTCTTTATTCCGGGCATGTATCCTAATGGACTGTTACAAAAGACCTCCAAGATCATCAAGTTCAACCTTTAATCAAACAGCACCATGCCCACTAAGCCACAGTACTAAGTGCCACATCCACTTGTTTTTGGAACATTTCCAGGGACGGTGATTCCACCAGTTCCCTGGGCAGCTGAAGCTCAATCATAACAAAGCCCCTTCAAACCATACTGTATTGGAACTCTTAAACTCTTAGCTTTCCTGTGCCTTTATTTGTCCTGAAATTATTTTAGATTTAACAATATTTAATAGTATTTAACACAGGAAATGACAGTAAAAATTGAGTAATTACCTTATTGTTCCTGCTCTTCCTGGCCTCAAAATGATAAATCTTTTCTGGTTCCCTGCAAAAAGTGAAACATTTTCATTTCTTGTGCTAATAGGTAGCTACTTTTGGAAAATTATATTACCCCTCCAAGAACAGATTATGTCCTGTAACAAATGAAATTGAAGATAATCCTTACAAAACAGACAAAAACATGTTAAGCATCTGAACTCTTTATTGAAGAATCTAAACCAGTCATATTTCATTAGTGGTCCTGAATCCACCATGACACTTCATCTGAATAACCTAAACTGCAAAAGAATCACTAAAATACTATTACACATTGTTCATGTATATTTTTTCAGAATCAATCAAATAAACGCTTCCTCTAGCTTTTATCAAATGCTGTCTCATAAGATATACCATGAACTCCTTTTCAGAATACTAAGTAATGCTTTCTATGACATTTGAGTGATGATTAAATTTTATGTACAATGATTTTCAAGATTTTCTGGGAGCAATACCCCTTGTATAACATCCTTTGATTTTGGTAACTATGATTATGACAATTTTCATACACCGAATGATACAAAGAACAAATTATACAGAACTTTCAAGCACAGGTAACTAAGGATGATCTCTTAAATCCATTTAGGTGCACATATAAAGACACCTCCAAAATTCTTAAGCATAAACAAATCCACCCAAACATGCTGGGAGGAGGATGGTCTCAAAACCATCAGAGTCAGAGGCTGATTATACTCGAGTGTCCTGAATCAGCTCTATTACAGAAGTGCAGTAATTATTTCATTTTAATACAATAAAACCTAGTTGGAAATATTGGTTATCTCTAAAGAGATTTACATTATTCTAGAGCTTTGGGTGTTTATAAATATGTGCTTACAACTGATCTTTTAAGAATTTCTTCCATAAATACACGAACTAGGACAAAACTGGCAGGTGAAAAAATTAACCCACCTAATTCAGTAGCAGAGAAAAAAGTTCTATGGTTTGATTTTTCTCCAATATTTATGACATAGTTGTTCAGATCTTAATCATTTTAAGGAGAATTTGCAAATGTGAACAATCACAATGCTTGAAGGCTGCCATCATTATTCTAAATATAGACTATTATGCTCTGGGATTCACATATTGTCTCCATCTGAAAATCTGTGACTTTGCTTTAAATGTCAAAAATGCTGCAGCCTGGATAATCTTATGTGTCCAGCTCATTTGTGTCAGCAACAGCATCAAAAAGTCAAGGGAGAGATGTGGAAGAAACAGGCCTTGATTTATGTATCTTCCTGCCACTACTTTCATTAAGCATTGATACAATAAGCCTTTGCTTCTCCTGCATTTCTTCTCCAAAGACAGCACTGGTCTGTCTGTGATGGCATAAGAAAGATGTATTTTTGAAAGAACGTTGTATCAAATACCTCCTGAAGGCCCTTTGGATAATAACTGCTGATACCTCCTCTTGTTTTCTCTTAAATGTAGAAGAAATTGGTCTGTGAGATCTTTTAGATGGATTGGCAGCCACAAATTTTTCTTCAATCAGTAATTTAAGTGTATCAAAATCTCCACATTCTCCCAAGACTCGTTTACTGAAAGCGAGCAAGATATCCAAGCAGTGGATCTTATCTCCACTCACTAGAGGGAGGTCCATGGATATGAGCTGGATGTTATTGGGCTTTGGAATGCGCAAGGGTTCTGCCAGAGCATCTGCAAAGTCTGAAAGAGCAGAATAGTCAATAAACTGTGTTGCCAGAGGATCAAATTTTCCCCAGGTCTCATAAAACATATCAAAGTCATCCTCACAAAGAGGATCTGTGCTTTCTTCGGTGGCAACATTGAAGTTCTCTAAAATGACAGCTATGTACATATTTACAACAATGAGAAATGATATAATGACATAGCTTACAAAATAAAAAATACCAAATGGTCTATTTTTGCAAGTAGTTTTATCTGTCTCTGTTAAATTTAAGTTGGGAGCACATGTAACAGATTCATTTAACAAAGGGGCCAGAAGACTATCCCAGCCAGCTGATGTTGTAATTTGGAAGAGACAGAGAATGCTACCAGAAAAGGTTTGAAAGTTGAAAATGTTATCAATCCCACCTTCCCAGGGAAGACAGGCAAAGTTTGCCATGCCCACAACGGCATAAATGAACATAATTAGGAAAAGCAAAAGGCCAATGTTGACCAGTGCAGGAAGAGACATCAGTAATGCAAAGAGAAGGGTTTGAATTCCTCTTGCTTTTCGAACCAATCTCAGGATTCGGCCAATTCGCACCAAACGAATAGTTCTCAAAAGAGTAGGAGAGATGAATTTTTGAAAGGCTTCAGAAACTCCAATACCTTTGAAGGAAGAGAAAAACCAAAGTGTTGTCAAGGCATATTAGTCAAAGTTATTTCTGCTTTGTTATATTCTGTGCTTTAGGTGTCAGAAGTAACACTGACCATATTACACCACTTTCCACACAAACATCATCAATACTACACTTGCCTACAGAACAGCTTAGGAAAGGAAAGACAAATCGTAATACCTTTCAATATTAAAAAGATATCAAGATTATGCATAGTTTGGAAACTCCATCCTCCCAGATTTCTCTGATTCAGGGTGGTGAAGTTACATATTCATTGCTCAAGTACTTAAAAATGCTTTTAGCTCCATTCAGCACCTGTGCTGGAAGCTGTGGGGATTGCCTCCTAGCTGCTGTCTGCTGCTTCTTTACAGGTCTGATCACATGCTAAATGTGAGGCTTTGACTAATGCTTGGTACTTGAAGGAGAGCAGAGAAGACCAAGAAGATTTTAAAGAAACACTGTCTTTTAGCATTTATCCCCCATTACACCCCGTTCTTTGACCCTACTAACAGAGTAAGGGTACAGCAGCAATGCAAATGGTTGCAAACAGAGGACTTAAGGAGTCATCATTTTCCTGGGTTGCACGGGACAGCAAAGGGTTACTGTGCTTAGGCACGAAACAGAGATCTCAGAGCAGTTTTTCTTTCCTGTCCTTTATTCTGTGATATAACCTGAGCCTGAGCGGGAAGCACAGACCAAATAAACTGTACAAGAAACTAGAGCTATCTATAACCCTTTGTAGAGGAAATGATCAGCATCTAGTCTTATTTGAAAAGCCAAAAAAGCCACATCAGTTTTAATGAGATTTTTCACAGTCACAAGTATTGGCCCAGATTTAGAATGGTGCTGAGCAATTACATTTTCCTGAGCTTTCTAAATCAGCAATCAGGATCTGCCTTCTTTAAAGTAGGTCCTGGAAAAATTAAATACATCTTTCTCATTTTTCTAGCAAATGTATTTTTAACATGAATTTACTTTTACTGTGAAAACAACAGTTACCATGATAACACATAAATTGAAAGCATAAAGACAGTTAGATAACAGGTTAATTACAGTAATTTAGAGAAGATGTTAATTAATTAAATTTCTGCTCTGTTAATTACTCAATAAAACATACTTTAAGAAAAGTAAAAATTGAAAACATCATTTACCTTTTAGTACATATAAGGGAAAACAAAATACATCCTTTTAGAAGGAATGACTTTGCATACAGTTTGAAAAAGTACAGTGGATCTGGATTTGTTTATCAAATATATCTCAGTGGTTACTTCATACTGAAATTTGGCTCAATATTGGTAAGACACATTACCTGATTTAGTGATTGGTACTTACTAACTATTGAAAGGACCACAACAATAAAATCAAATAAGTTCCAGCCGCTTTTGAAGTAATGCTGTCTTAAGGCCAGCACTTTTATGACACATTCCGCTGTAAATACAGCCACAAAAAAATAGTTGATTTTATTCAGAAGTTTCTTGGTGCCTTCCTGGTTATTTTCTGCCATCATAACAATCATATTTAGGCAGATAAAAATGACAATGATGATGTCAAATGCTTTGTGCATTACGATATCAAACAGCAATCCCAGGAACGCATTCTGTGGAGAGAACAAGAAATGCTTGATGCTACTTCTAGGACTCAGCCTGCATTCAAATATTAATCAGTAATTTGTGCTTAGAAAAAGAATTTAAAGTCATATAAATTTAAGAATTAGCTACTAAATCATTTTTAGGGGATTTCTTTAGATCTTCAATGAAAACTCGCAGTACTTGGCTAAGTATATTCAGGCATCAAGCAAGAACATTGGCATACATATACCTATTTTTTTATATATATATATATGTATTTATATACATCAGGAAAACATCCAGAGTACATTGTACATTGTATTGCTCTTTTAATAGAAATCCTTACTGAAGCAGATATTTTACTATAAGTAACTCTAATTAAAATGTCGTAAGCGAGAAAAACTCTCAATAGTTACTATGAAAAGCCAGGCCTGGAAATAAATTTAAGGAACTAAAAGAAATAAAGCATAAGATTATCTAAAAGCAAATAACTGCCATGGGGGCATGTACTATTCTCTATTCATTCTCACCTGCAATAATCCAATCTTGTGGCAGAAGCAACATCATGCAACTTAAGTAACCAAGGTCATGGTAGGAATATCAAACACTTAATATGAACCTTTATAAACAGGTTATACATTTGGATAGGTCATAAATAGGATATAAATTTTCCTAATTAATGACCACAAACAAAGGCTCTTTTAGATGGAATTAAGCAAAAGAGTAAAATGTAAATACTACATTGAATAAAGAAGATGATGGGCTCTAAGGCAAAGTTTATTTCCCTGTGCCTGGGCTACTGAGTTCAAATATGGTCACCATCGTTGTATCTTCTGCCATGTTCTACTTAAGATGGTCTCACCGATGGTCTTGGGATGGGTTTTTGAGGTTTCTTGGATCCAAGTTTTTTTAGGGCATTATAGTACTTTTTCTGTTCCTCAGTCAAAAATAGATCTTTTCCACCTAAGTAAAGGGAAAGAATATTGTTGTTTAGCTGAAGTTTATGCAGTTCCCTAAATACCAGCAACTTTCTGTAAAAAAGAGTAAGTTACAGTTGTCCTGAGTGGGACCTAAGACAGCACAGAGACAAAATGTGTCTTCACCATTTCTCCTTTTCCCCTTGATCTTTGAAAAGATGTACTGAAAAGAGCTGATCTGGGTCTGATCATGACAGTCTAGTCTAGGCAGTGTTCCCAAGTCAGTTCCCTCAAGTGTGAGAGCCTTTCTGAAGTTTTACAAATCTATTTCCTACTTTAAAAATTACATATGATTCATCAAGAAGGGAAATACTTTCTATTTTTGGGGAAGGTAGAAACCGAAGAGTATTGCTGGACTAGCAGGTAAATGGAGGATGATGGGACCCAGTTCTACAGGGTGTTCCTAACAACGAATTTCTTATTCCCATTTACACTCCCTGTATTACTTATCCCCATCTACACCCTCTGTAGTACTTAGCAATTCCTTTGAACCCAGGATTCAGAAGTCACTCATCAATCATAAATGTGGCAAGGAAAACCTCCTTTCTTTATTGGACATGGTGGGGGGAATATAATTTTCAAAGATGAGGAAAAGGCTGAGGTATTTAACATCTTCTTTACCTCAGTTTTCAACAGTAAAACAGGTTGTCCCGAGGACAGCTGGCTTTTGGAGCTTGTAGACAGAGATAAGAAGCTGAATAGCCCCCTGTAATCCAGGAGAAAACAGTTTGTGACCTGCTGAGCCACTTGGATCCTCACAAGTCTGTGGAGTCAGATGGGATCCATTCTAGGGGGATAAGGGAGCTGGTGAAAGAGCTCACCAAACCGCTCTCCATCATTTACCAACAGTCCTGTCTCACTGGGGAGATCCCAGATGATTGGAAATTGGTGAATGTCACGCCCATCCACAGAAAGGGCTGGAAGGAGGACCCGGGAAACTCCAGGCCATCAGCCTGACCTCAGTGCCTGGCAGGGTTATGGAGCAGATCATCGTAAGTGCAATCACACAGCACCTACAGGATGGACAAGGGATCAGACCCAGCCAGCACGGGTTTAGGAGGGGCAGGTCCTGTCTGACCAACCTGATCTCTTTTTATGATCAAGTGACTCGCCTGGTGGATGAGGGGAAGGCTTCGGATGTGCCTGTCTGGACTTCAGCAAAGTCTTTGACACCATCTCCCATAACATTCTCCTGAAAAAGCTGCAGCCCACGGCTTGGACAGGGGCAGTCTGTGCTGGGTTAGGAACTGGCTGGAGGGCCAGGCCCAGAGAATGGTGGTGAACGGTGCTGCATCCAGTTGGCAGCCGGTCACTAGTGGTATCCCCAGGGATCAGTGTTGGGCCCAGTTCTGTTTAATATATTTATTGCTGATTTAGATGAGGGGATTGAGTCCACCATCAGCAAATTTGCAGATGACACTAAGCTGAGAGCAAGTGTCGATCAGCTGGAAGGCAGGAGGGCTCTGCAGAGAGACCTGGATAAGCTGGATCCATGGGCTGATTCCAACGGGATGAGGTTCAACAAGGCCAAGTGCCGGGTCCTGCACCTTGGTCAGAACAAACCCCTCCAGTACTACAGGCTGGGGACAGAGTGGCTGGAGAGCAGTCAGGTAGAGAGGGACCTGGGAGTTTGGATTGATAAGAAGCTGAACAGGAGCCAGAGTGTGCCCAGGTGGCCAAGAAGGCCAATGGTATCCTGACCTGTATCAGAAACAGTGTGGCCAACAGGACCAGGGAAGTGATTCTTCCCCTGGACTCAGCACTGGTGAGGCCACATCTCGAGTGCTGTGTCCAGTTCTGGGTCCTCAGCTCAGGAAGGACATGGAGGGGCTGGAGCAGGTCCAGAGAAGAGCAACAAGGCTGGTGAAGGGACTGGAGCACAAGTGCTGTGAGGAGAGGCTGAGGGAGCTGGGGCTGTTGAGCCTGGAGAAGAGGAGGCTCAGGGGAGACCTCATCACTCTCTACAACTCTCTGACAGGAGGGGGGAGCCAGGTGGGGGTTGGTCTCTTCTCCCAGGCAACTCTCAGCAAGACAAGAGGGCATGGTCTTAAGCTGTGCCAGGAGAGGTTTAGGTTGGATACTAGGAAGAAATTCTTTACAGAGAGGGTAATCAGGCATTGAAATGGGCTGGCCAGGGAAGTGGTGGATTCCCAGTCGTGGTGGTTTTTAAGATGAGACTGGATGTGGCATCAGTGCCATGGTCTGGTAACCACAGAGGTGTAGGATCAAGGGTTGGACTTGATAATCTCAGAGGTCTTTTCCAACCCATCTGATTCTATGATTCTATGATTCTACTCTATGATACGGGTAAATTGCTAAAAGCAATTGAGGAAAAGAGGACTCTTGTTTCCAAAACGTGGTTTAAAATGTTATTAGTTTAAATTTATCCAGTTAAACAGTTATTTCAAAATGTTAGACATCTAAATGTCAAACCAGCATTCATTTAAATTGGAATTAGAGGAGATCCTGAGTTAGCTCAAGTAGTACTTATCTTTTTCCTTTGTTGGTTAAAATTGTTGATAACCACTCCAATAAAAAGGTTCAGCATGAAGAAAGATCCAAAAATAATGAAAACCACAAAGTATATGTACATGTGTAAGCTTGCTTCAAACTTTGGCTGTTCATTGATCTGTTAAAAAAAAGTCAAACCAGAAAAATAATATTGGTAAAAAGGAGATAATCACAGCTTTACCATTTCCAATTTATAATAACAGATCTTGTCATTGTCATGATGGATAAACTATTTCCACGCATTTACATCTTTACCTGCATGTACAGGTAGAACCACTCTCTTGTTCTATCTTGCTACTGATTGTAAAGATAGTGACAAACAGGGCTATAGAGCCAAATCCAGCTTCAACAAATTTTTAAGTAATAAAGAACCAGTTCCAATCAGAATGGGTCCTGTGAATGCCCTGATTAAAAACAACAGCTCAGACTAAACTTAATGTCCTGGTAAGAGAGTGAGGAACAGCACATGCAAAGGGGGAAGAAATAGTGAGGATGTCAAACATAGGGAAGAAAAACTCCTGAAATAACTGCTCTAGTTGCATGCTGTTTCAATGCTCCTGTACATGTTTAAAAAGGAAGAAAATTTGCACAGTCCCTCCAAGAGCTTCTGTATTCTGTTCCCAAAAGAGACTTGCACAAAGCTTGCAACCTCTCCTCCTCTGCATTCCTGACATAGCAGGCTTCTGTGTGGTGTCACTCTACTTTGACCAGTTTCTTTTGTCTAAGTTCCAGATTTTTGGTACTCCAAGGATTATTGTTTCACTGTGTAGTTTGATGCCTTCAACCACTTGTATTTTTGACTTGATATTGCAAACAAAGATGAAAAGTAATTACATGGACGGAAAAGGGAAGACGAAAAGGGAAAAGAACTAAATTGTCATTTTAGTGACATACCTCACGTGAATCCACTGCTGCATACATAATATCCATCCAGCCTTTAAAAGTTGCCTGAAAAAAATGCATTATTAAATTTGTTATAGCTAAGAAAAAGATTAGGTATAGCTAATATAAATGTGTTGATAGTTGTGGAAAATGAGCAGTATGCTATAAAAAAATATGTATCACTTGCAAAGATCTGCTGGGAAGTATGATTCACTGGAGTTTAGTAAAGAGAAAAAAAATCCTTCTTGAAAACTAAACAAAAACAAACAAACAAACAAAAATATTTCCCGAAAACAAAAAAAAATCATGATGCATGTGAAAAGTGTCTTAATGTTAATTCTTGTTAAATTAATTTTTTTGTAAAAAAAATAAAATGGTAAAATTTTCAGCTTAACTTGCAAATATAATGTAAAAGGATAAAAACAATTTCTAAGAAAACAGCACACAATTCCTTCCTGCAATTTTTAGCAACTCTGCAGAATCATAGAATACTTTGGAGGATCCAGGGCATAGAACTTCAGCTAAAAAAGATACAGGAATAACAAACGATTTGAAAAATGCCTTTCTCTCCTTTGTTGTCATGTTAGGGAGCTCAATAAATTAGTATTCCAATCCTTCATGACTTCTACAGCAAAAGAAAATATAAATAAACTGTGCCCTGATTTTCTTTCTCATCTACTCTGAACTAGAGAAAATGAAAATATTTTTAATTCAGTAACCTGCAGACTATTTCAGGTTTAGAGTGTTAATCAAAATTAAAACAAAATTGAAAAGCCGTGAAACAGAGTTCTTGATTTTATGAGTTCTTAAGCATATACTCAGGTGTTACTTAGGAGGAACTGAGCAGGTCACCAATAAGGAAATATATATGGAAGCTAAAAAATATCCCCAATTTCACTGGGATAAACAGAAGCATAGAGGTGTCCCATAGTTGGGCTGCTCAACCCATTTCCTTGAAGAAAACAAAACTGAGAATGTTTTTATAGAACTCACCACTTGGAGCAGAGCCAAGTATCCCATCCCAACATTATCAAAGTTTACAAGAGAATTTGTCCAATTTCCACCACAGGATATACAATTACTTTTGGTATTAATGGCACGGATATCTCCTTCCTGGAGTATGCACTTTGAAAATCTTTTCCCAAACAATTTTACTCCTAAAATGTTAAATAGGAGCCAAACGACAACACAGACGAGCAAAACATTGAAGATTGAGGGGATAGCTCCAAGGAGTGCATTGACAACAACCTGAACAAAACGAATGAAAATAATAGTGAATTTTATGTTGTCATTTTCAAAAACATCTTCAAATGCAGCCATTACAAAAAATTCACACCGACCCCCAATATCTTTACCTTTATCCCTTCAAATCTTGACAAAGCTCGTAGAGGCCTCAGTGCTCTAAGAGTCCTGAGAGATTTCAGGCCACTTCCAGAGGAACAAGGTGATACAACTTTGGGGTCAGGATTTAGTGCCCAGGAAACAATTGACAGCTGTGTTCATAGAATTGCAACCGGGATTATTAAACGGTAAACAAAATTTCCCTTGTTTGTGTTAGCAAACAGTTAGTATCTGAGCATTACAAGATCTTTGACCAGTAAGTCAAATTAAGAAAATACACATTCAAAGTTATTGTAATATAATTTTACTTCATTCTTTTCTAATATATGAAAAAAATTACGTTTCCTTCATTCTGATTTAAAATGCATTTTTTTCCTGTATGGGTTTTTGTTTTTTTTCAAAACCAGTTCACATAATTTTTTTGACTGCTAATATAATAACCAAGTTGATAATTATGGTACTTATATACACTGCCAGACCAGAAAGGATTTTTCAAATAAAATATTCCCATTTGCTCCATCATTATTCTCAGAGGAGTAAACAATAATTCTTTATTATCACTTAAGATAGTGATGTGGAGACAAAAATTATTTTTTAAAAACACATCCGATATTTTAAATTATTCTAAGAGTAAAAATTAAATGAAAGTATTAGAAAAAAATTTCAATAATTAGGGGTTTTTTTGACTGTTCATGATTTGTCTCTTCTCTCCTAGTTGAAATTCTTGTGTCATTGCCCAGCCATTGGATCTTTTCATGCCTTTCCTCTGATTTGGACAGCACTGCTATTAAGATTAGAAAACTGTAATTGCTGAAGTTATGCTACATGTTCTTTACAAATAGCCATAAGAGGTGGTATCTAATAAAAGTTTCTTCAGCAACTTCTGATTACTGCTGAAAATTTCCATTTAAATTTGTTCTAAGGTCTCTTTGGATTGCAGGTTTTTCAGCTTTTGGAAACTGTCTTTCACTCATAATCAGAATTTGCATGTCCAGATCCATCCAGGTAGAAAATGTCAAAAATCAAAATGTATGACAAGCTGAATATAATACTTACACATACAATGACAAAGTCAAGCAAACACCAGGAATTTGTGAAGTAACTGTGCAATCCATAAGCTACCCATTTCAGAAGCATCTCCATCAAAAAGATGAAGGTAAATATTTTATCAGCACAATCTAGGATCATTTTCACTGTTGGTCTATTTTGCAGGTGAATATCTTCAAATGCCTGGAATTTCAGAATTCAGTTTTAAAACAGGTCAGTAGTTGTATGGAAAATTACTGTTAAATTGCACAAGAATACACAGTTTGTCTGATTACAACCATTTCATACTAAATTATGGGCAACCACCACTTAGTTTTATACTTAGAAGTAAAAAACTAAAGCCGGACTTGAACACATTAATCACTGTCTTTCAGACTCTGACCTTCCAAATGAATCATCTTTAGTCAGCCTGCAGAGTTGTAATACACACATGGAAAAAGAATGACAAACTCCTTATCTGGAACTGTTCATTCCTGGAGTTACAGGTTTTTTCACCTAAACCTTGACCTTGAGGTTTTAGGAAAATGCTTTATTGATTGCTGCTGTTCACATCAGTGTTTGCTTGTGTGTCATGCATTCTCTGCCTTGCTAAGTAATTTTAAGTTTTTGATATTGCCAATCTATTCCCAATTCCTTTTACATCTTGCATTATTTCCTCACCAAGCCTCTGGAAATGTATTTATTCCTCCTTTCAAGCACTTCTCCCCTACCTTATAGCCCCATCTCCACTTCATTTAGGTATTACAGCAGACCTGATTTGCTCCCCTGCACGTAAGACATGCCTAAAAATCCAGTCTAAAAGGCCATGGAAAAGGTGGAGCAGGAGCATAGACCACTGAAAAAACAAGGAGCAGAGATGCTCCTAGGTATAATCCAATAAAACTTATGCACTCCTTTTTTGCAGTGTTAGAAAACAGTGATTCTGCTTCTGGACCTAAACGGGTCTTCCAGTTGTGCCACAATTAGGAGAAATGCCTCCAGAGCAGAGCTGTCCCTGTGCCCATGGGACTGTTCATTTGAGTGTGGGTAAATGAGAACTTCTGGCATTCATGTACATAAACCTATTTGCCATTTCTGACCTTTTTTCTTGAGCAAGTCTGATCATATGTCCTCTGATTCCCTGCTAAACCTTGGCTACCTTGATCTCCATCTACCAGTCAAACCACCTGCTCATTAGCAGTGATGTTTTTTTCAAACTTCCAACTCCTTTTTTCCTAACTTTTTTAAGTTTCTAGTTACTCTTAATTGCTGCTACCTTAAAAAGTTAGAATCTACTTAAGTTTCTAACTACTCTTCCTTTGCTCTGAGCACTGAGCGCTCACCATGGACTTTTCTGTGCATTCTTTCTGTCATCAGCATCTCATTTAATTTCCTTTCAAGGCAAGGACACCACGGTGTCCCTTTGTTCTAACTGGTTCAGACAATTCCCTACCAGCATACAACTTTATAAACAAAGAAAACAAAGAAACAATCAAACGAAATGGACAAGTCCCTTTTTGCAAGAGGACAACATAGGTGAAAGTTCTCACTGCAAAACATCTTTGATGTTGTTGTTTTGTTATTTTGCACCTAGGTACCAAATAGCTTTGGGTTCAGTTTATCCCTTAATGTGCTGTAGGATCTGACTAACTCAGTTTCCTTCCTTACTTCAGCTTGGTTCCACATAAATAGAGAGGAGCCCTCACAGGAGTCCCAGGGATTTCCCTTGGCGATTTTGCCATGGGAATTCTAAAGCAGATAGTTCAAATCTATAGTTCAGTGAACAACCTGAACTTAACGTACACAGAGCACATTTTATTTGGAAAATTCTGACATTTACCACATAGATCCCTTTCAGATTATTTGGTTGTGTTCCTTCTGCATTGTAAAACATTTTATTTAACAAATTACGTTCAGTCAACAGTGAATATGCTTTCAAATCATAGAAGTTCCCTTATTCTTGAGTAGAAATGGATCTGATCAGGGTAGCAACAAAACATTACCTCACCTATCAGTTTACAGCCAACTTCGCTTTTAGATTCTAATCATAATGTTTGGATGGTTTTGAATCTACATTTTTACTGAGCAGTTACCTTACTTTGAACATTTAGAAGTGTTATTATTTTATTTGAAAGTGCTAAGTAATTTCAGACTCTGGTTTAGTCTTGTAATTTACACACAAATGTATGAAGAACTATGTTCCATGAAAAGCTGCAATTCCATATATTTAAATCCATATATTTAAATATCTTATCTAAGGGGGAAAGCCTTATCACTTTTAAGGGATGCATTTATTACACTGTTATCTCTCCTTGTGGGAAGGAATGTCACAGTAGAGGAAATCAATCAAATATTATTATTTTCCTTATTGACAACAATCAATGCAAAATTAGAGAAATTAAATGCAATTTACCAGTGCTGCACTGCTCAATACTATCACAAAAATCATAAAATATTCAAACCCGCTATGGTTAACAATTCTGTAGCAGGTTTTCCTGAAGTTCCACCACCTTCTGCCTGGAAACTTAGTGATATCCACTACACAACATGGGACACATTTACCACAATCTGAAAAGAGAAAGAACAGTATATTGGTTCCATGGAAAATGCTGAAACATGGAATCAAAACAGTATAGGGCATCTTAAAGAGAGCTTCTACAGACTAGAGAAAGAATGTGCTGTTTTACCTATGAGGTGACGTTGTGGCTGAAATGATCTTAAGCTAAAGAAAAGAAAAAAGTTGTATGCAAAATTAATCTCTTTTAATAGAGCAACTCATATATGGGAAAAAGAGAGTTGCTTTTGTGCCCTTCTTCAGAAAGGCTTGTGGGCACAAGAAAAAAGACTTTACTTCTATCTAAAAAAATGTTTATTTTTTGCATTTTTTCTTTTTGTTTTGAAAAGACACAGTACCTTACTAGTGGATTAGTCAATTATTATTTTTACTGATTATTACACTTTATTCCACTGCAGAGACATTACAACTACACTCCCTGTTCACTGCTTTGCACCAGAAACAGTCTCCATGAATCTGTAAAGGCAGCAGGATTGAAGCATGAGAGTCAATGGAGTCTAAGGAGATGGTCAGGTAATCAAAGGCAGATGTCAACTCTGGGATGAGCAGGAAAACAGATTCTGCTAATCTGGACATGTTCCAAGTGGATATTTTTTAACACTGTTCGTTTGGTATTAGCACAATAAAGGAAAGATTCCTACTTTCTCCAAAACAGTCCTTAGGCAGGTGTGAGTTTTCAGTCTGGAAAAACATCTCCAGACCAACAGCTGCATCCACACTGCTGGCTTCAGAAAAGCTGAGAGCAGCACCACATTTCTGCATGGGAGAAGGAGAAAGAGGAGAATTTATTTGCTTTTCATTACTAAGGTTAAAAAACCAAAAATAAATGAAATTTATCATCCCCCTGCCCCCCTCCCCAAAAGAATTCTGCAGTCTATAAATTACCTTACTGTTGCTGAACTATCAAATTAAAACCACAAATAATAGGACAGAAAAAGCCAATCCCTACTCTTTGTTTCCATGGTTTTAATTTAAGAAGTTTCTTGGTTTCTTCTTGTCATCTAAACAGGACATGCAGGAAGAAGAAGACTTTCTTATGCTACAACTTCGGACAAAAGTCTGACGTCTTCAGGCCAATCGAATTCTCTTTTCACTTTCAGATACAAACCATGTCTCAAAAGGCCTGAAGATGGGAAGGTCTAGCAGGATAGAAATGCATGTATGGTCTTGTAGCAAGTTTCTGCTGCTGGGTTTTGGTAGAGGGGATGGGGAGGCTACAGGAGTGGCTTCTGTTGGAAGCTGCCAGAAGCTTCCCTCTTCCTGCGGATCCGATGCCAGTCAGCTCCAGTTCAGACTTCCTGCCACTGGCCAAGGCCGAGCCAGTCAGGAGTGACAGTAACACCTCTGGGATAACATATTTAATAACAGAAAATTGTTGTGCAGAAGAAATTCCAGCCAGGGAATAGCAGAGTGAGAACACGGGAATAACAATGTAGACCCCAAGGGCAGTGCAGAAGGAGGGGCAGGAGCTGCTCCAGGAGCCAGAGCCGAGGCCCTGGAGCCCATGGTGCAGAGCAGGGTGGGGCAGCTGTGCCCCTGCAACACATGAGGGACCATCAGGGTGCAGAGACCCCCCTGCAGCTCATGGAGGGGCCCACGCTGGAACAGGTGGATGCAGGAAGGAGGTTGTGACCCCTTGGGAGGCCCAAGGATGGAGCAGGGTCCTGCCGGAGACCTGCAGCCTGTGGAGAGGGAAGCCCAGGCTGGAGCAGGTTTCTCCTGGGTGAGACTTGTGGCCCCTGTGGGGAACCCACGTCAGTACAGCTTATTTGGGAAGGACTGCACTCCATGGAGGAGTGACCCACGGGACAGCAGTTTGGGAAGAACTACTGCCCAAGAGATGGACTCACACCAGAGAGGTCCATCAAGGACTGTCTCCTGTGGGAGGGATCCCATGGGAGCAGGGGAAGGACTCCAACTCCTCCCCCTGAGCAGTGGCAGAAACAACAGCTGACCACAACCCCCATTCCTGTCCCCCTGTACTGCTGAGGGGGAGGAGGGAGAACATGGAGGGAAGGAGGGGTGGGAGGAAGGTGCTTTTAAGACTGTTTTATTTCTCACTCTTTGATTCTTATCCTGTTAGTAATAAATTTAAGTACTATCCCCACTTTAAGTCTGTTTTGCCTCTGAAGGTAATCAGTAAGTGACCTCTCCCAGTTGTTATCTCAACTCATGAATCCTTAGCTGTTTTTTTTCTTCTGTCCAGTTGAAGAGGGAGAGTGAGAGAGCAGCTTTAGTGGGTGCCTGGTATCTGGCTAGGGTCAACCCACTACAGGTCTACACATCTCAAAGAATTGTAATCACTGGTAGGTAACCTACACACTTATAAAACTAAGTACAATAAGGAAAGCAAGTATAAGGAAAAAAGAATAAAGAAATCTATCAGCCATAATGTGTAAGTGCCCTGAATGGCATGGAAAGGGAAGGCATGAGGATAGGGATAAGAATGGGAAGCCAGAAGAAGGGAGAATTTCCTCTGTCGACAGCCATGATGCACTACACTAATCTAACGTCGTAGGGAATCTTCATCATATACAAAAATGCAATTATTTAAATTATTGGGCACTTCAATGTTTTCAATATTATTTTTAAATATAAATATATTTCAATAATGTATAACAAAGAAAATTTATGGCAGCTGTGCATAAAACCAGAAAATATTAATGGGGTTTCACTTTTGGGGGTAGTAATCCAGAAAGATGCTGAACTTCCATTTAATTTTCTGGGTCATCAGAGCCATGATTCTCCACCTTTTTTTGATATGGAACATTAGAATGAGATGGGTTTCCATACCAGAAAAACCATGGTTGTTTAGGGAACCATTTCTAGAGAGCACATTTTTGCATCCAAGAATGACAGCAAACAGAATTATCCATAGAAACAAGTGGCATCTATCAGACATGCTTAAAATCATTACGTTTCCTGGTTAATTTCTGTTTCCTTATTTTGTACAAAATTATACATTAAGTTACACCATTAACCATGGCTATTGATGAGACACAAAACTCCATGCTATTACTACCTCTAGAGAGATGTGCCACCTCCACAGCCATTATATTTGCTACTCTTCAGAAAATCCCAGCCTGTCCTGTCATTGCTGAATGAGAGAACAGCTGTGACAATTTGAATCTCTAGCATATTCCACAAGATGATAAAAGTTAGAATTACCTCTTTTTGCTCTTGCTTTTCATGTGTTACTGTGAAAACATTTATAGTTTCAGGAGTCCCAGAAATCTGACTGAAGCTGCCTGAACTCTGTCGGTGTTCTCTGTGTCGTAATCTGTCTCCCTGCAGGAAATAATGGAAAACAGTTGATTTTCCAGATTTTTCATTCCTGACAATCATTCTTAAAAGTCAGAATTCTTTAACAGAATCTAAAACCTCCACAAAATTTAGAATCACAGAAGGGTTTGGGTTGGAAGGGACCTTAAAGATCAACTAGTTCCAAACCTCCTGTCATGGGCAGAGAACCTTCCATTAGTGTGTTCGTGTTTTTACAAATAATTAAATGATATCCATAAAATGCTTGCAATAGAATGGTTTCTTCCTTGATTTCAAACAGTGTGCTCTTGAGCTTTTACTGTGGAAATGTATCATTCCCCAAGAAATACATTTAGCTCAGGGATGGATTCCTGCATCCAATTAACCTTTGCAGCTGGACCCCAACAGCCTCATGCTTCCAGTTACAGGCAGAAGACCTAAGTGATCCCAATTAGTTCTGTCCTTTTGTCTCCACAAATTCCAAGAAAGATCAGATTCCACTGCAGCAGTTTTTGTCATCAAATGCTTCTGGATAACATCTTTGAAATGGCCACAGATGATTCTAAGGTGATCAGCAATTTTTGCTTCTTTGAGAACTTGTCCAAAGACATGCCATTGACAATGCTTCCTAATATGACCCAAACCACAGCAAATGGCAACTGAGAAGAGACATGGAAGCATCAGAAGAGGCTGCCTTCCAAAATGTGTAAGGCAAAGGAGACAAAAAGAAGGAATGTCTGTGTCAATCAAACTTCATTTATTTGTTGACAGCAATAGATGGAAACAAAACAGACAAAAGCAGAATTAGGGCTATCCATGAAGCAAATGGTGAAAAAGTGGATATTCAAAATGTCTTTGGCAAATGAAGACTATTTGGTAGCCCTTGCACTAGAAGAGCAAAGAAAGTAAAATGGCAGAAATGACAGAAGGGATAATATTTACTGTTGAGTCTTTGAGATGGCAATTACAGATGTAAGTTACATATTTTGTTTTAAATGTGAATAGTGCTTACCTGTTTTCTGTGTTCTGTTTCTGTGAATACAATGTAGTCATCATCACTTTTGTCACTGTAACTCTCTGCTTTTGCAATGGGAACACAGACACAATTATTATCCTCTATGTTTTTGCCAGAAATTTCTTCCAAAGTCTTCTTTTTGTCTGTCTTTTTGAGGCTTCCTTTCATTTTTCTGCCACAAGGATTCAGAATTCTGTCTTTCACAGACTTCAAGCCCTTGAGAATCTGTGCAAGGGCAATCTGACATTTAGTCCTTTCTCCAGGTTCCTCTTGTCCTCCTGAGGCATCAATATTGAACGAACTCAGCAGCAGGGCAATGAACAAGTTGAGCACCTTGAAATAATTAAAGTAAGTTGGAGACACCACTGCTAACAGGAAAGTCACTTCAGAAACCCTCAGTCTTGTTTTCCTCAACCACTGCCATGAAATTATTTACTGTTATATTGCAATATTGTTATAGTATGATCTGGCCCCTTCTGGAAGGAATGGCAGGAGAAAAAGGAAGGAAGTGAGGGTTTGGGTGTATCAAATATATTTTCACCTGCTCTGATGTCCATAACGTATGAGGAGATAGATATGTTGAAAAAGAGCAAAGATGAATTTTAATAACACCACCATCCAAAAGGGTCTGGTATAGACCAACAAACCAAGCAGATGAAAAAGATTTTGTCTTCCAGTACATTTACATTCCATCTACTAGATGTCATACAAACCAGAAAATCTAAGTATGGTAAACTCTTGATAATATAAGTTGATAAACATTAAAAGCACTGAACAGTTTGGTTATTGGATCCTATCAACACAAAAGATGAAGACATCAGATACTGCATTATCAGAAGCACTGCACTTCTATACTATGGGTAGAGGGAATAATTTTGTATTGCCTCTACATCTTATGTGAGAAAGAGAAAGACAGGGGAAAAGTAAAAAAAAAAATATTGAAGAAAAACATGTCAAGTGACATCCAGAAAAGAGAATAGTGTGAATACTCTTGAAATGATAAAGTTTCCCTCTGAAAAAAATCAGTTGCCAGTGTAACTGGATGCATTCAGTAGGGACTGGGAATCAGCTTAAAACTCACCACCAGGTTTCCTATCACCAGGACTAGCATGAAAATTGTAATACAGATGCCTTGTCCAGCCACTTCCATACATTCCCACATCATTTCAATCCATTCTCCACATAATATTCGGAATATAATCAGGACTGAATGACTGAAATCCTTCATATGCCAGCGTAAATCCTCACTGGTGCTTATTTTACAGAAGTTTTTTTCATAATCACTGCCCAGAAGCTGCATTCCTAGTACAGCAAAAATAAATACAGTGATAGCCAAAACCAGAGTGAGGTTACTCAGAGCACCACATGAGTTTAGAATTATTTTCATAAGAGTATTTAAGGCTGGCCAGGACTTTGCCAATTTGAAGATCCTGATCTGTAAATAAAACATAAGAGAAAAAAGGTAAAGTCAAACACAGCCCAGACAGCACAGCCCACACAAAAACCAGACCCTGCATTTATCATGCTGCCTTTACTGCAGTAACATTGTCATTTTTCCCCAAGAAAGGTTTTTAATTGTTTTGATGCAAAACTGCTGTGCTTAAGCTCCAACAGTTAATGTTATTGAGAGCAGAGAAGTATCAAAGGAAGGTTTCAAATTGTTTGTGCTAAGTTAGATACGAGAGTGTGCCAGTGTAATAATGTTAATAGCAATAAAAAGAACAGGAATATAATGAAGTAGGTCACGGGTACTTGGAAAAGGTTATGAAATTACTGAGTTTTGGTCAAATGCAATAAGACAAATATTTTTTATACTTCTCACCAAACAGACTTAAAATAGGATCTGAAAAGCCAGATGGGACCTATGTACCCCCACAAGTAAAAAGGAGGTATTTAGTCAAATTAGCATTCAGGGCTGTGAAAATCTCTCAGTCGTGATAAACAAGGGGAAACAGAATTCAACTGCATTTCTAGGCTTGTGGACTGAAATGCAAAGAAGCATTTTGAAGTAATTAGTAAATTTAACATTAAAAATATGCAGTAAGGACATAAATATAAAAGCAATGTTATACACAGACACTTCAGAACTATTCCTCCTTCTCCCTAAAATGGAGGAAAGCACTGAAGAGTCCTCAAGGCCAAGACTAAGCCCTGAGGAAAGCTCTGGTATTTTGCAAATCTCAGCTCAAAAGAAAAAACTGTCAAGGAACTTTTACTATCTATTCAGTGAAATATTCCTGTTGGCTTACTATTTACCAACAAAGAGAACTGATTTAACAGATTCATCAGTAAAATAATGAGAGGGTATTTCACTGTAATCATTCACAAATCTATACAATACACGTGCTTTTAAAAAATAGCAAAGAAATCATTACCACTCTGAAAGGTGACAGATTGGTTCTAAAGCTCAGTAGGCCAATCAAAACAACCAAGCTATCAAAAACATTCCACTTGTTCTGAAAATAGTAGTAAGGATCTAGAGCAATGATTTTCAAGATCATTTCTAGTGTAAAAATCAGGGTGAAGACCTGGAAAGACAAAAAAGAAATTCAGAAAAGGTCACTGAAGAAGTCTGTCTCCTTATGGGACTATTCCAGTATAAATACAGGATTATAACTCCATATTCACCCTAACATAGACCTCACTTACCTGGTCACTTATAGTAATCATTTTTCTGTTTTCTGGCAACATGCCAGGGTGCTCCATAGCCATCAATAAGGTGTTCAAGATAATGCAAACTGTGATAAAGAGTTCAACAAATGGATCCAAAATCACCAATTTCACCTTCTCTTTGACTGCTCTCCAGAATGGACAACAATTCCAAATTAGATACTTTGAAGCAAAACGTTTCCACAATGCAGGACGTTTCACTTTTGACTCTAGCAGAGAAAGAGGGAAAGTGGCATATGAATAATCCTGTGTGGAATATCACAGTGAGAAGAAAATACAGTCAGAGAAAAGATTGGAAAGAAAAATCAATCTCATGTGAGTAGAATGGCATCATCGAAAAGAGTTGTTTCACTCCTACTACACAAAATAGGCTACACTAATCACAGGCTATTGCAGGTCACCCCCAACAAATCTCATAATGACAGAAACAGGGGATGTTCCCCACCTCTTCATATGATTATTATTCTTTCCTGTGAGGTTGGGGAGGTCCTGGCACAGGTTGCCCAGAGAAGCTGTGGATGCCCCATCCCTGGGAGTGTTCAAGGCCAGGTTGGATGGGACTCTGAGCAACCTGGTCTAGTGGAAGGTGTCCCTGCCCATGGCAGGGGGTAAGAACAAGATGATCTTTAAGGTCCTTTGCAACACAAACAGTTCCATGATTCTATGATTACACTATTAAAGGATGATAAAGGATCTGCATTAAGGAGAGAAATCACTGTTTCTGGGACAATGACAACCTGTGTCCTGTGAGTTGAACCTGCCCAGCCACAGGTGTCCATAGCTGAGGACAGGGTTATAAGTGAGGTTGGAGGAGAGCTCAGGGGATCTGTAGTGCAACCCCCTTCTCCAAGCAGGGCCAGCCATCAGGTCAGAGACTGCACAACCTCTTCCTCTGAAAATGGGCAACGTTTCTGCTTACACACACTTTGAAATTCTCTTCTTTCAATCAAGTTGGTCAGGCATGATTTACCCTTGGTAATTGTGAGTTAGTCACAATTAGATGAGATATGAGAATCTTTGTTTTCCTGAAGTTTACATTTGCAGCATAATTTCCCCTAGTGGTTTTTAAAATAATGCTGAGTGTTTGAGACAGTTTGATCTCTCAGGTCACATTACACAAAACCATAGGAAAAATGACTTACTTGAAAAGTCTGTAAGAATAGTGGCTGCACTCATTAACCTCTGTCTTCGGTAAGGATCATTAATAGAGTCCACTGACACATCATAGGACAGCAGGATCTGCCTCTTTGGTTAGAAAGACAACAGAAGGTAACATAGCAAGGGAATACGAAAAACTGGCAATACAATATTTATGTCCAGCATGACATAAATATGCCTTTTTAAATACACATTGAAGGGAAGCTTTACTTTGGTGACAATATATAAAACAAAAAATACAATACTATCAGGTCTTTGCTTTAGAAGGCAAAGGGCATTTCATCAAAACCAGTAAATTTCTTCATGAAGTTGTTTCCTTCTGAAAATATTTAATAACAAAAAAAATGTCATTATAGAAGAAGTATAGAAACATTAATGGGGCAAGGGAAAAGAATCCTTCCGTTTTTCCAGTGGCTGATGAGAAGAGCAGACAAAAAAACCACTGACCATCAGTTTGAATAAACTATTGCCTATTTAATGATGATAATTATTGATCATTATTAAATAATATACATTTAATAATATGAAAAATAGTCAAGTAGTTAATAAAAATTATTGGTTTTTTCCAGCACTACTAGGTCTATCTAGATTTCTACTAATATTGAACTGCCCAAAATTATGAAATGCACTACTTTTGTTTTCATTAGAAGCCACAGAATGCTCAGCTCAATGCTCCTGATGTGAGCTCAAGGACAGACAGGCCAACACTTGTATCTTATGGGATACACTGAATTATTATCAAATATTCAGATCATGATACATTAAAACCCACATGCTTTCTCAGGATTAAATAGACAATCATAAAACATGGGCTACAAAGAATATGTGAGACTCTGAGGTAGAGAAAGTCAGAAAGAATTCCAGAGAACGCTGGAAGGGTGTATAAGTAAGGATATATCACACCATTACTTCAAACTTTTTTGATATTATGATTTTTATTAACATATTCTAGAAAGCTGTTATTCAGGGAATGAAACTGATATTCTTGGCCTCAGGGGTTTCATAATAATTATTTCTCTTTGTCATTCTGATATTTTAATGAAAAATAATCAAAACATCTGATAGATGTCATAGAAGGGACATATCAAATGAATTTGTAATATAGAGCTAAAGTGCTCATTTTTCTCTCTGTAATTTTTCTGAGTCTAAAAGGCTCATTTAGACTATTCTAATTATGTTACCAGTGCAACTTGTCCTTTCATTCCTTTCTATTGTGTTTGGTGTAAGACAGAAATACATAAAAATGTGTGTGCCAGCCTGACTAAAGTCCTCGGTCTTCTTGTTGAAGTTCACAGCTGTTCAGAAGCATTGAGTTAGTGTTTTTATAAAAGACAAGGGTGTTCCCCAACACTGGCCTGGTTACTGCTGCTTATCTGTCTTTAAGTGAGGGAAATAACTGGGGATGAGAAACTGGGATTTAAAATAGGGATATTCTCTAGAGGAATGATCCGTTCAAGTTTTTGTAAACTGATTAAGTCCTACCAAAATGTTCCTACCTGATATACTTTTTTCTCTTTGACTTAGCATCTTAAGCTTCGTTTTGTGATGAAAGTAGAGAGTACATTGTTTGAAGAGTTCTCAGAGAGCCACAAGTAGTTGCCACATTTGTTGCAGTTTATATTTATTTGACTAATAAAAGAACTCTATGTCAGAGCATCTCACCCTGTTTGGATTATGCTCTAGGTTTTCCTTTCTATTTTTTTTCCCTTTTTTAATGTGAAATCATTTCAGTATGAAATAATATGTACTACTGACACCCACTTCCAATTTCTCTTTCAAGTCCAAATAGTGCTGTCTCCCCCACATCCCAAAATACAATTTTCAGATTGCTTTAAAAAACAAGTTACTCCAATGAATGCAAGAAGGAGAAAAAAAAAACAGAGAGGAAAAAAATGCAAACAAACAAAGCTTTTCTGCTCAGTGAATTGTCATATCACATGCAAGTCTAATGAATATTTTCTATTTTGAATACTTACAAGCTTCTTGTGGCAGTGACCAGGCTGTGATTTAAATATTTGCTCCTCTTTCTCCTGATCACCTAAAATTACATTTTGTCTTAAAATAAGTGTTTCCTCATTAATCTCATTTCCTTTTGAATTTTTCAAGTCATCAACTGGCATTTCAGACCCAACCTGCAAGGCCTTACTGCTTTCTGCTGCAGCCAACTCCTGTAAAAGAAAAGCCAAAGGTCTGTCTATTAACACAAGGCAAATGCCAACACATGGACTAGGATAATATTCAATTTAGTTTTTACTCATTAAATTATTATGCTCTCTGAATGCTTTACACTAACAATTTCTAGCTTTCAAATATTAAACTGCTATAAAAAGACAGGAATACAAAATCCTATTCACAATATGGAAAGACCAAACAGGGTTACTTGTCAGCTGCTGTAATTCAAGTTTCCTCTTGTCACATTAAATATTGTGTTTTGTCTCTGAATTACAGAATATTATGGTTTATCCTTTTACTTCCCTTTTCTTGTTTTGAAAAGGACCTTGAGTCCAAAGACAACAGAACACTAAGGGCTCAATCTAAATCCTTTTCTTAAATACTAATCCTGTCAAAAGAAAACTAGAAGGAAGAAAAGCCTAAGTAAAGCTTGGCAAGCTGGAATGTCAGGCAGGGAAACATTACAGAGCTGCCAACAGCTCTAGAGGAGGAACTTGGTAAAATGGTGATGCCTTACACCTTAATGAGGAAATTGGATACTTGCTAGAGAATATTCATATGGCCTCTTACTGACTTTTTTGACAGTAAGCAGCAAATCAGATGTCTCTTTTATAAAAAGCTACAAGATACAATAGGTCTTACCAATAATTTTTAACCTATCCTGCTGCCTCGGCTTAGAGCTTCACTTCTGGTGGATGAGAAGCTCGAGATGACCCAGCAGAGTGGGCCTGCAGCCCAGAAATAACTGTGTCCTGGGCTGCATCACAACAAGCATGGGCAGCAGGTCAAGGGACGTGATTCTCCCTCTCTGCTCCCCTCTCCTGAGACCCCACCTGCACTGCTGTGTCCAGCTCCGGGTCCCCCCAACATCAGCAGGACATGGACCTGCCCAAGGGCACGGAGATGCTCTGAGGGCTGGAGCACCTCTGCTCTGGAGACAGGCTGAGAGAGCTGGGGTCGTTCAGCCTGCAGAAGAGAAGGATTCAGGGAGACCATAGAGCCCCTTCCAGTGCCTAAAGAGGCTCCAAGAGAGCTGGAGAGGGACTTTTTATAAGGGCAAGTAGTGACATGACAAGGGCTAATGGTTTTAAAGGGAAAGAAGAGAGATTTAGATTAGATGTTACGAATAAATTCTTTCCTGGCAGGGTGGTGAGGCACTGGCATAAGGTGCCCTGAAAAGCTCTGGATGCCCCATCCCTGGAAGTGTTCAAGGCCAAGTTAGATGGGCTTTGGAGCAATCTGGTCTAGTGGAAGGTGTTCCAGACCACCCTGGACTGGAGGATCTTGAAGGTCCCTTGCGATCCAAACCATTCTGTGATTCTATGGCTCAGTGATTGTCAGAAATAAAAACAGGTGATCCCTGGTCCCTTTCAGACCAAGGTATGAATGATTGGAACAATATTATGCCAAGAAGAAACACTGTGGAAATCTGATGTATGTCTATTAACTCTCCAAAACAACAGCAAAGAAAATAATGTAGTCTCTGGATGTCAAGAGGAAACTTAATATGGAACAAACAGCATTATCCTGGCTAAAGACTATTCCTGCTCTTGTCAACTGATAGACCTCCTGCATCCTGTCACTCAGAAAGAGGTCTGAGAACCTTTAAAGTGCTGAGCACAGTGGCTCTTGGAAGGCTTTTTAATCAGGCCTGAAATCTATCAGCACTAGAACTTCCAACTTCTGGGAACTGCAGAAATGACAATTTTTCTCATGGATGTAAATGTATCCACTCATATTTCCTTCATGAGACTATGCAGTAATAGGAAGAAGGAATACCCAGAGAAAGGAATTTCTGTCCACAGCAATAATGGTAGTGTACAAGAATGGGGAAAACCATGGAGTGCAGCACCTATGCAATACCATAAAAGGTACAAACTTGCCAGTAAGCCATTCCTATACAATGTCAGGTCTGCAAATCCTAAAATTTAATGATGGTTTTTTGTATCACAGAAATGTTTATATATTCAAATACATATATACATATATACATACACACAGGCATTTATAGAGACATAAAGAGAAATGAAGCGTGAGAAAGTATTGTAAGAAGCACATGTTTAATTCAAACCATCATTTCCCTAATTCACATACAGAAGAAAACAGAAGGAACCACTTATTATATGTAATAATTACAAACCTGTTCTTTCTCTAGAATTTGTTGGGCTTCCTGAAGTAGTTTTTTCTTGGTCTCTGTTTCAGCAAGACTAGATCTGTTTTGCTCTTCATATGCCATAGTTACTACAGCCAAGATCAGATTGAAAAGATAAAATGAGCAGAAAAAGATGACTCCCATAAAAAAAAAAAAGGAGGTCACTCCAGATGTACGAATAGTCTGCGAGGAAAAGGTAAAAGTTGTGATATATTCTTAACAAACTAATGTTTCCAATACATTTTCAAACTAACTTTACACTTTTTTAAAATGGCAGAAGAGGAGATGGTTCAAAATTAAGCTTTGATACATTAAAACCCAAAAACCATGTGAGCTTCAAATGGCAAGAAGAAGATATATCCATTTTAAAAAGTCCTAATTAATAATGGTTGATGGAAAAAAAAGTCAAAATGGACAAAAAGTTACAGAACAAGGTAGAGGATAATTCTTGGCTAGCAAAGGCACTGCATAGGCATAGGGGATCCAGAGAGTTGTCTACATGCATTTTTATAGCATTTCTGAGAAAAATCCCCACCAGAATTCAAAAGTTACATTCAGCTCTCTGAATCAAAACATCAAGCCTCCAAATTTTTAGTATCAGTTGTCAAAAATGATCTGAAACTAAAGTGTTGAGCCAAAAGGTTTGGTGAGGAATCAGGATATGTCAAGTCATTCTATCAGGTAACAGAAGTACCCACCTGTCTGTAGAGGCGCTCCCAGGAATCCTGTGTCATCAGACGGAATACAGAGAGGAAGGCCCAGCCAAAATGATCAAAACTTGTATAACCAAAGTCGGGATTCTGCCCAATCTTCTTGCAGGTATAGTTTTCTGGGCACTCTTTCCTAACCCCAAAATAAAGATTAAACAATACTTACATGGAGATTTAACAGTACCTGAAAGCACCCCATAGACAACACCAGATTTGTTCAGTTTATCTGAAAGTCCATTTCATAATTCCCCAATTTAATTCTGCCAGAAGGGCTGATTTATATCAAACCATCCTAGAAAGCCATTTGCCTAATCAGAGTAAACTAGACAGAAATCTTAGTGTAGGACTAGACAAAAAGTCTCTCATGATGTTGGATATGTGCAAACAAATACACAGAGAGGGGAAAAATGGAATTATTTTTAGTTTTAAATAATTCACCAAGATGAGGAGAGGAGAGTTTATTAATATCTAACAGGTCTTTACTGATCTCTTCTTCTCCTCATTTATATCATTCTACCTTACCATTACATTCCCAGTGGTCAGCAACAAAGTACATACATAACTGGTTGCATCCTTGTACTTCATTCTTTTTCTGAGGTGAAATATATGCCTTTTAATTTAATGACACACACGCACCATATCCTCCTGAAAAATCATCACCATTCCTTCAGACCAGAAATAAAACCACAGGACATCTGGAGGAACAAATCAAGAAAGTACTAAAACTGCTTTGTTCACTTACTTGGGATCTGAACTGAACCCACAGAGCAATATGTCAGAAGAGCCATTCATTCTGTGGCAGATATCTAATAAAAAAATCAAGGAATCATAAAATCAGAAGTTGTCAGTTTGCACAGCCTTCTGACAGGAAACCATACATTTACTGCACTTGATAAACCCCCTGATGGATCCAAGCTCTGGGAAGCTGATTCTCAGTAGATCTGTCTCTACGACAGTTTAAAAAAAGTGGCAACTCTTTACTGCACAACTCACAGTGTAAGATTTCATTTCTTTACCGGATTCTCTGGTAAAAATAAGAATCTCTGTGAGAAGTAGGCAAAATCCCTGAAATATAGAAAAAGTGATTAAAAAATAACCATTCCCTTTGCAGTACCCCTAAAATTAGGATCCCTGTACCATGCACAGGTAAAAAGGCAAATACTTATAGAAAACTCAGCCCCATCTATCCCACAGACTGCTGATCTTTCTCCAAATCCAAGATTCACTAATTTCACATTCACTGGTTCCAGAGACTTCATATTAAGACTCGTGCAAATGGAAGGGTTTTCCTTCTTGGGAGAAAGACATGCAACTATAGTTTAACATACCTCTGAAATTCAAGACATTCATAGGAAAATACACAAATTATGTAAAGAGAGAAAAGAATAATATTTACCTTCATCACCTGATACATAGATCTTGGGATCCTTACATAATGAGTCATTGTACACAGTATTATTGAGGACACATTTGAATCTTAAATTGCCCATAAAAAGCTGGAGGCCTATTAGGGCAAATATACTCAAGCAAAATATAGTCAAGATCATCACGTCAGCAAGTTTCCTAACAGATTCAATAATTGAATTTACCAGGATTTTCAAACCTAGAAAAATAAGATCCAATAATATGCAAAATGAGAAGAGGAATGCAGTGACATTCCCATATGACAAGACACAGCATTGCAAGTCTGTTAAAAACAATCAGAGTAAATGGGTTTGTAACTTCTGAGTATTAAATGAGGTAAAACAAAGCATAGCAGTGAGTAAAGCATTTTTCCCTAAATTTCCTAATCATAACTTCTTTGGCTTCTGCTTAGTACTAACACTAATTTTACTATCTTGCAAATTCTAAATTAAGATGGTATCCTAACAAAGTCATGCAAGGAAACAAATGAAAGTCTCAAATATTTCAAAGTCAACATTCTTGGGAAGAAACCAGAGAAGTTTAAGCCAATGAATTTTAGCAAGCTAATTAAGCTAAGGAAACAGAAATATGGGGGTATAACCATATTATGTTAAGAGAACACATCAAATAGAGGAGGCTGCTCCAGGAAGACTAAGGTAAAAAGGAAAGGGAAACGGGCTAATTAAAATTGAACATTAGTGATGGGATAAAAAGTGCAGAAATTAAATTTGCCTTTGTCAAAACCATTTGGAGGAAAAATTATTAAAATAATTCTGTTAGGATACTGCTGAGAGTTACAACAGACTGTAAAACAGTCACACCTTGAGATCCCATCAGCAGTCACAGAAGGGGACCAGAAAGCTGAGGACAAGAACAGGAGAGGAATCAGAATTAGCAGACTGGTGAAATGGAGAGGATAGCAGTAAGATTGTTCCTTACCTGGTATTACTGAAATGGCTTTCAAAGTCCTCAGCACTCTGAAAGTTCGAAGAGCTGAAACACTGCCCATTTTTTTAAACGTAGTAACGTACCTATAAAATGAAACCACATGTAACTGAATGGCAAGGATGTAACTTTTCAAACCATAACCATGTTGAGCCAGTCTATGACTATTTTTCTCTTTGCAGATATGCAAATGGTGGTTCAAGCACAGTAACTTTTTAGCAGGTAGGATGCCAAACACTCTCAGGAATTTCAGCAACATCAAATCATCTGTGGTTTTGCCCCCTGAGTGTAAAAGAGCAACTGAGTTTTACTTACATTATGATAATAATAGAAAGATCCAAGCAGTTCCACGGATCTCGAAGGAAGGTAAATTCATTCCAAACAAATCCCCTTGCTATTATTTTTATCAATATTTCACTAGTATATATGGCAGTAAAAAACCATCTGAGGAAGAAAGTCTATATTAAGATTATAGAAATAAAAATATTAATGAGATTGAGTCACATTCAGGCACATTCAGGCATTTTCTGTGATAGGACTGGTTACATTACTTTCTGAAGCATCATGGCTGTAAGAAGATGTGTCCCTGAATTCTAGTAAGATTCAGATAGTAAATCTGTAACCACAAAAGTTCACAGAAGCCTATGATACTATTTCTGAGTGAAGGATAACTCACACTTCCTTAGGAAACATTTTTAATACTGTGTTTATATTCTAAAGCAGGCTGGAAAATCTCAAAGCCTCAACATTCTGGCAGAACAATAGAACAAAAGAGCAACTGAACAAAGGCTTATTTCAGTCTGTAAAGTTTGCACATTTTATACAGTTATTCTGATGAATCCGCCATAACGGAAAGTAAACCTACAGAAAATTAAGCTATTCTTATCACCATGCTTACCCCAAGATAAAAGGGGCTCTGGGGACATTTTCAAGATTTAATTCTAGAACAACAAGTCAAGTTGCACTGGATACAGTGCACAAGTACAAAAGGTAGCAAGACATTACAAAGAGATGCCTTTCTAATGGGAACAACTGACCCAGGAGTGTCACCAGGAAACAGGAAGAAAGAACAGAATGGACACTTATCCCTTTCTAGTTTTTGCATGAGCCAACCATAACAGACATTCAGGTTATTGCTGTAGAATGAGAGATATTAAGTTAAAATTCTACCCCACAGTCTCTCTAAAAGGCTCATTCCTTAAAAGAAAAAATGGGGCAATCTTCTATGTCACAGTAGATGGCAAAATTAGCCAACACAGAGGAAAGGGTACATGGTGTGAGCCTCTGAGAAAAGGCACTGAAGCTCCACCAAAGACTCAGAGATACAATAACAATCCTCAATCTTCCTCAAAGGTCTCAGTGAAATTTTTCAAGGCCCTGAATTAGATCACCACATTGTTTAAAATTGTCAGTCCGGCACGTTGGTATCCATGGAAAAAGAGGGAACACAGAGCCACTGAGATACTTACTCAGTCCACCTGAGTGCTGATGGGAGCTGACGTACAGTCATAACCACACAATTGAGTAACACAGTACACATAATAAAGCCAACAAAATCTGTGAATAGTAAGTTAAGGAAAAAATTGTTATATTATAAAACAATGAACTTCACAGAAGGTCCTGATTTCCAAACAAAAAACATATAGGCATTCAAATAATGACTTTGGTTTTGAATATGCTCAGGACTTCTCATGTGTTTTCCAAAGAAACTAAGTTAGAACTTAAGTGGGACATAACATGTTTAACAGAAGAGATGAGAAACATAAATTAATGAAAACCAGTTGAAAAAGCTTCATTACTAATAACCAATGTTCTTTGAAACTGGGATTCCATATCCACATGTTAGCAAAACACCCCTCTGCTCTGCAGGAGTTCAGAAAGCTTTCTCACTTTGTGTGGTAGGCAGTGAAAACATGCATAAGAAAAAACATTCTTTCATAAAAGTTCACCAGCCATCTAATAAAACTGTTTGGGGTGTTTTTTAAATAAACTTTGTTTTTAAATGTAAGGTTTAATTGAAAGTGAATACTAAATTTAGCAATTTCTAATACTAGGAATACACATTCAAAGTCAGACATAAGTTCCATTAAAAGGATCTATTTTCACAAATCAATAATTCCAAATGAATAGAGATATTTAGCAGAAAAAGCAGAAACTACTCACTTGATGTTTTAGCACCTGCAAATTCTTCACATTCTGACATTCTCCAAACTACAGTTATATTGTTACAAAAATATGAAAGATGGGCACTCTTCAGAACATTCTAAACTTGAGTGTGGAACACATTTCTTAGGAGAACATGAGACTCTTCCAGCAAAGCTTCACCATAAATCCCATCTTTCATATCTTAAAAACCAGGGAGTCCCTGGTTTGCTTTGTTTCTTTGTTTGTATGTTTTTAATTTAACCTTGTGACCACAGCAGAGATTTCGAACAAGTTCTGGAAAAGGGCTACAATATCATACAATAGCCTCTAAAGGCTGTTTCATACCACTATCTGCAAAATTGATTTTAAATATCAGCTTGTATCAACATCATGGAAATATCTCAGCTGTTGTAACATTAGATTCAATATAACTTCTAAAAGATCTCTATCAACCATATCTATATCAGAGCTTATGTTCACATTAATATAAACAGAGGAACAGAATGACAGAAAATGATACAGGATATTTTAAAATTCAAATAAGGGAAACCAATAAAAGGATATGAATTGGTCAGAATTTCAATTGCTGCTTTTCTGATAGGATTAAAAGGACCAAATATACACAAGGCAGGTGTGGCAGTAAACCGGAAAATAGTCCTCTGTTTGTTTAGCACCATAAAAGTCTACAAAGAAAAGATTGATAGGATATGAAATATTTAAAGGAATTAAAATTTCCCCAAAAAGTAAATGTTCAGGTTTTCAAGTCTGCATCTAGAACTATATTGAACTGCAATTATGAGAAGAGCTTTCCTGTTTTCTTACTTGGAGCTGTGACCTGGCCATACACATTTGGAAGGAAAGACAGCAATTCTATAAAAGTGCATTATTGTCTGAGAGGAAGAAGCAGTCATGAGAATGAATGTGAAGAGCAAGCGATCATATTCACTTGGTCAAAGTAATTAAATTTCTTAAAGCAATTAACTAGTAATTACTATTCTAGGACTGCAACAATAGTCACAGTCACACTCCAAAGTACCTTACTCTTGGATAGTTTTATAGGCTACAAAACCTTATTTACAAAATACACATTGGGTAGGACTGCCAGAATCCCTGACATCCACAGGAAAAATTAAAAATTCGAAGTATCCCCAAATTATCAAGCAGCTCTGTAAATTCCTTCTCAGCTACCTCAAGTTCCACACAGCTCCGTACTTGTGCTACACGTAAAAATGAGATATCATGAACGAAAAACACAGTTTCATAATATACATTTCTTCAACTGAATCAGCCTCAGTTTCTCTTCATCAACACTATTACTTTGGTTACTTGGAGAAAACAAATCTCTAGAAGAACAAAGTCTTCTGCATGTTCTCCCATTCAGTTATTACATTCCAATGCCTTGCTGGTCATTTCATAAAGACAGCAGCACAGCACTGCATGGAACCTCCTACGGTCTTCAAGTCCCCCTCAACAGTAAGCAATCATACAACAGATATTTAATTGAGGAGGGATTCCTACAGCATCTACTTTAGACACTCCCCCAGGCAACAACACCAACCCCTTTGCAATCGCATGGAGGATTTGCAATATAAATATGGCACAATAAACAAAGTCAACAAGACATAAAATAACAGAAAATTAATTTACAACAATGCAAATACATGGGTTTGCTAAGCAGAGTGCTGGAAATATCTCAAATATGCCTCCCCTAATTGGTATAATCTTTGTAATTCAGTGAAAGCATCTGCAATTTGAAAATTATCTACTCTTGGACAGGCACTGCTTATACCACAGGCATCACAGAAATTGCTCTGCAAAACAAAGCATCCCTTATCCCAGAATATATTTCCTGTAGAAGTGTATCAATCATGTGTATTATGTTCTCATAATTAAATCTGACTGTTGACTGGAACTGAAGATACCTCTTCATGCCATAAAGCAGAGCACACCTCAGCACTCCTGCCCCAAAAGATGTCAGGAATGTTGAAAGACCTGTCTGCACAACAGTCAAAACCCAGCATCTCCCAACTAGAGCTTTTATTATCTCTTAAGAGTTCAACAAAGTTAAATCAAAGAAATGCTTTTGGAAGTTTTAACCTTGTGATCACTGTAGTATGGATCAAAATCCTCCAGGGGCTCCCCAATGAGCTCTGATGGAATGTCCCCATAAAGGGATGGCAGCTTTTTGCAGACTTGCAGATCAAGCTGGGGAGTAAGTTGTTCTTCTTCAACTCCTTGGTCCTTATTCTTCTCTTTTTCTTTGTCTGGCTGCTTTTTTTTCTCAGCAATTCTTTGCTCAATTGTAGCCAAAGACTCAGGGGTGAAACGTCGAAAGCTGTTAGCTTCTGATGACCAAGACAAGCGATCCATTTTTCCTTCTGAAGGTTTGTTTCCAGTGCTAGAGGCAATTGAAGAAAAAAAGCTATTAATAATTAGAAAATAACAGAAATAATACACAGTTTTAGACTACTATCTATTAGATAAATGATTTCTGACTTCTATGAAACCCCGCATCAAAATATAATAGAATAGAGTAGAAGAGGAATTTCAGCTGGAAGGGACCCACAACAACTAACCAATGCAACTGTCTGAGCAATTCAAGGCTGACCATGTTAAAGCTGCTCCTAAGGGCACTCTCCCAGTGCCTCTTGAGCACTGACAGGCTTGGGGCATGGACCACCCCTCCAGGAATCCTGTTCGAGGGTTCAACCACTCTCTTGGTAAAGAAAGGCTTCCTAATGTCTCACCCCAACCCACCCCCAGTGCAGCTTTGTACCATTCCCACACATGCTGTCACTGGATACCAGGGAGAGAAGCTCAGCACCTCCCTCTCCACTTCCCCTCCTCAGGAAACTGTAGAGAGTGTTGAGGTCACCCCTTGGCCTCCTCTTCTCCAAACTAGACAAGTCCAAAGCCCTCAGCCCCTCCTCACAGGACATTCCTTCCAGCCCTCCCACCAGCCTTTTTGCCCTCCTCTGGATGCATTCAAGGACCTTCACATCCTTCCTAAATTGTGGGGCCAGAACTGCACGCTGTGCCCCATGTGAGGGAGGCCACCCCTGTGTTTGCTCTGTTTGATGCACCCAGGATATAAGGCAAAACCAACTAGAAGCTCATTCATTTAAAAGAAAGAGTAATGTAAAACAAACTCCCAACAAAGATCAACACCTAATTCTTTGAAACACTCTGCATTTTTCATTGCTGAGGTCCAGCTGTGCTATTTCTGTCTTGTGAGCTCACTTATGGACCATAGGTGTTAGAGAATCAATACCCTCTTGCAATTACAGCTCTCTTCTTCAGATGCCAATATATTCCTTTAAAAAGAATATGCAAACAATAATCTTTGTGCAACGATTTTGTTTGGGTTTATGGGACTTGGGTGGTTTTTCTTTTCTGCCTCTGGGACTTTACAAGCAAGTTCAGATCTGATCAGGAACCACAGCTCAGAGATTAGAATTAGCCATGGTAACAAAATTGAAGCATATAACTATAGAACTGGTACTTTGCCAAACCACACAGACCCATTTCCAATTGAAAGCTCAAAAGATAAAGCAAAAATCAAGATGCTCTTTCTTTTTTTTTTTTAACTTTTAATAATTCTAAGAAGATCGAGTTGATCTTCAAAGCAATTTTAAGGACAATAGAGAGACTGAGCTTTTAGGGAGCAATATTGGCTGTAATAAATGAAACAAAGAAAACTGTTTTAGCATATACAAACATTGTTTTAGTATTAAGAATTTGGGAGCTGAATTTTTGAAAGTGAAGACTGAATCTGACAAAAGCAGTGATCAAGAGCAAAAAAACCTTACACGTTCCCTTCAGCAACAGTGACCAGAAGTCATAATTGGACAAGCATTCATGGACAACGTGAGAGGATTTCTTCAACAGACCTGTACCAGCCACATACTAGTGCTTATATAGAACAACAGACTTTTGGGCCTTTCAACAGCTGCCAAGTATTTACAGGTTGTGACTTGGGTTAGGAAAGAGGAAGCTAAGAACATGTGACTGAAAAAAATCCTTGTGATCCAGGTGGCTAAATCGTTTTAAAAAGACAGAGTGACTACTCAGAATTCCTGAAGCTCAGCTGAACTCAGTCACCTCATCATAGGCTGCTGAACCAGCTGAATTTTTAAGTCAAGACACTGAGGTAAATTGTTAGCCTTAGAAATAATTTCAGTCTTTGCATTAGACAGAAAAGTCTCCCTAGTTACTGATTCTGGGAGGGAAGACACAGAACCAGCGTTCCCAGAAGTAGCTGAAGGACAACTGGATGTGATTTCTTCTAGAACCTGGGAGAACAAACCTGGGTGTGTAACTACAAGGAAATTGTAACAACACACTACCTAAAGTGTGCTGCTGAGGCAGATACAATGCTCGAGTCCAGATCTGCTCTTTCCATTACAGGGCATGAAAGAAATTCCCATTTAAATTCAATTAAGAATTGAAAATGCTGCACCAGATGTTGATATCTGGTTCCATAGCAGACAGTGGTCCATCAGTAACAGATAGAAATGCACTGAGGGGACCTTCAGTTACTAAATTAACACTCTTGGTAGGATCAGGGATACAAAAACACATCTTCAACTTTTGCTTTTAAATGAAAGTGGAACTTACTTATTTCTCTCCTCTTGAGAGGAAGTGAACTCAGTGTGCAAAGCTAGCCCTGCTCTGAGGTCAGTCTAACTGGCTTAAGGCTGACCTTGGATACTGCTAAAATGACACAGCAGCTTTGAAAGTCAAAACCTGAGGAATTCCACAGAGACTGATCAAATTTACTGAACAAATGATGTGCAAAGCAATAGAAAGAGGTGAACAACAACTCGTTAAATGAAGCAGACACTGGGCACTACTAAAGTACAATTTGCTATTAAAATTTCTTAAGATACAAGTTGGGCTTTGGGACAATTTTCTAGAATAGCAAAGTAATGCCAAAAAAATGAATCTATTAATACAGAGTGTCAGAGATACAATTTACAAGATGCTTCCTGGGGCAATGACTTATCACTGGAGATGATAACTAACAGATTTAGACTTTTGGATTGAAAAACAAAATACGAATTCAAGCCTTACACACAACTCCTTGATTTGGTTCTATCTATGCAAATTTCAGAACCCCTTTCAGCTCCCTAAAAGCACAAAGAGTTCCTTTTAGGTGTGGCAAGGTAACAGCAATCAAACTATTGACCATTAGATCGCCAACAGTCCATAAAAGTGGAATTTAAACTCATAGAATTGCACAGTAAAACACAAGCAAAGTCAGTAAGGGGCATTTTTGAGGAGTTTCTCGAGACAGGAAAACTAGAAGGAACATAAACATAAAAATGTCCTTATTTATGTTTCAATCTAGTTTTAGCACATATTATAACCACTTCTGAGTCCCAAATTATTTCTATCCATTCCCTTCTCAAGAGCCACCCACCGAATATTTCCTGTGAGCACCTGGATCTGAAAAAATAAAGAGTAAACTAACTGCTTAGTTTGGTGTTAGGATGCATTTAGTAGAATCTTCCACATGGGAATAAAGATGTGTTCATTTCTTCATCTGGAATAAGAAAAAATGAGAAAGCAGCTCAGAGCAACACCTTAGGAAACAGGACAGACAAAACTCCCTTTTCTGTGCTGTACAATACCTTGCCAAAAGCTACAGCTATCACCTACTCAGTTTTCATAAAGAGTAAATACTTCAATAATTATCTCAATAGTTATCCGTCTCAATAATTATAAGCAGACCTAACAGGTATTGCTGTTTCTAAAATACATTTCTTCTTCATGGCCATTTCTTCCAACTAACACTTTGTCCCCCATTCTCCACTTCACACTCCTAACCCGAACCCAAGAAACCTTTTTGTTTGGATTATTTTGATAAATATCTACCTCTGGGTTTTTTGGGGGGTTCTTTGGGGGGGACCGTTGTTTGGTTTGGTTTGTTTTTTAACAAATGTAATGCACAAAGGTATTCACAATATCAAAATAGTAATATATTATATAATACAATATGTTATAATATAATCACTCATTACTTCCAAAATCAAAAATGTGTGCAACAGGCTGGACTGTGCATTACCTAATCATCTTGAAAAAAATCACCCCCCAGCAGTTTTGTGGCAAAAGCATTTCAGACCTCAGCAGGTCCTGCCAAGGTGTTTTCTGCTCCCTGCAACTGCAAGGACTCACTTTAAGAGTTTAGGGAACAACACTTTTTCTTAATACAGTTTGGGGCAGGTTAATAAGGTTCAAAGGTCTTCAGTGATAATGCAATCTACTGATCCAGATATTAAGCAAGTACAAGCTCTGATACAAAGCAATCTGCTAATATGCTATGGGGTAAGCACAAGCAAAAGCCTTAGTTCTAAAAGCAGCATTTAATGCATATAGAATGTAGTTCTCACCCAAGGCGTCCCTCTGGGGGGAGAGAAGATGGACTCAGCCCATCAACCGATCCCAGCAGTTTCAGTAGAGGTCTTCTCCCACTTTCCCCCTGTCCACAACCTACTTTTATACTACTTTGTTTGTGTTTGGGTGGAGTTTGAGTGGCTCTAGTCAGAAATACCTTTTGTTTCTGATTGGTCTACGTAATGGGGGGGGGTGGTGGTTGTGGCTTGGCATCTGAGGAAGGGGTTTGATGTGGCTGTTGGCTTCAGCAGCAGAACATCTTGATTCTCCCTTGTCAGACAGACACTGTACGGTCTCAGTTCCACAATGTTCTCCCATTCTGCTGGGATTAGAATGGAGGGGGTCACAGAGTCTCCACTTGGTTCCACACTCCGTTCTGTTCCTCTGAGCAGATGTTTAACATTGTATTGGGGAGCATGTCGACCTCAGTCTGTCCAGTGAGTTGCAGCTGCTTTTTACCCTGAAATTCTGAATCCCATCTAGGTTTAACTCTCCCCATCATCCCACAATGATCTCACTGACAACACTGTACAAATGGAAAAAGTGCTTGGGTGATACCTTTGAAGAATAATCACCTAAGTATTAATCCACGATTTTCTTTCTGCTGAAATTATAGTTATATGTATGAAAAGCAAAGAGGGATTTTTGTTCAGTTGGAAATATATGTGTAAAATATAAGAAAGCAAAAGGTTCCTTGTTTCAAATGTCACTCTGAGGTTTTAGCCAGCTGAACTTTCAGGCATACATTAAAATATTTGCACCCAATTTACCTTGTAGTAACAGTTTTGGTTAGAAATTAGAGTTATATATTACTGTGTTTCATTCCCGAATTTCTATTTTTTATTATTCCCAGGCTATGGTGTATGTTCATTATACCTTTTACAGACAAAATCTGAAAGTCAAATATACTATCTGTTATATACAAGATCAGAGCCCAAAATACATTTAGTATCACACTATGCCATATATTCCAT